GCTTCCTGCCTCGACCTGCCCAACGTCACTTGTCCAGCGCCCCACCATCCCCTCCCCCACCTGCATGAAGTCCTGGCGTATGACCCTGTCCAACAGCGCCGCTGCCTGTGCGTACGTGGCCAGATCCTGGTCGTCCGCCAAGGGGAGTCGGGTGTACAGCTGGGAGTAGTAGGCGCGCAGGAAGGGACCCCCCGGCTGGTAGCGCAGAGCCGCAAAGGCTAGCATGGCCTGAGGGGGAAGGGGAGGGGGTTTAGGGGAGGGGGTTTAGGGGAGGGGGGCTAGGTGTAAAGGAAGGGGAAGATAAGCGGGGAATAGTGCAAAAGGGGGGTTGGGCGGGAATCATATCATAATGCAAGAACATGGTGCAATAAGAAGCCAGCGGTCAACTGCTGACACACGTCCAAAGCACCAACTGCTGAAGAGTCTGATTGCTGGACAACAAGTACGAGTCTCCTTCCCCCCTCCCTGTCGCCCCTTTTGGATGTCGGGGCTTGTTCTCGTGTTTTTTGCACATAGCTACCCTCCCCCCTTCCCCCTTTACACCCCCCCCCTTTTCCCCTCCCTGCCTCTTCCTGCTGCTCACCTCAGATAGGGAATACGCCTCCAGCACCTCCAACCGGGAGTGCAGTGCCGCAGAGAACTTGTGCATCCACTCGGAGTGGGGCCGGAACCGCAACTCGGACAACGCAACCAGAGTCTTCACCTGCAGCAATAGAGGAGGTGGAGGCGGGTTGGACGATTACTCATTTTGAACGAGACGTGTGAATTTCACGCAATTCCTCACACGTAATGGTTGCGGCCAAAGTGGTTTGAGAGGGTTCGGAAGAAAGACATACCGCAGTACGGTTTAAGGCAGGAACGAAGGTGAGGTGAGGGGCGTGTCGGACTACAATGCGAAAAATACAAGGGAAAAAGGAGAAGCGGAAAAGAGAGAAGGAGAACCAGACACGCAGCGGGAGGCAGGGCACCATTCGGCGTCGCCCCTCGCCGAGAGATGTATGTGCCCCGCCTGCGCCCGCCTGATTTCCCCACGTCCAACGCCGACGCGCCCTTTCACCGTACCTCACTCCCCGCAAACTAACTCCATAACGGCCTCAATAAGCGCAACCACCCACCCACCCACCCAGCAACAGCCGGTGCCTGTCTCCCCTGATCATCCCGGCCCCTCCACTTCATTCCCCCTTCCCCCCCCGTCCCACCAGCTCGTCCGCCCGAAAGGTCGGTAGCTGCCGCTGCACAGCAGTCAGATATCTCCGCATCCAGCCCTCCCAGGTGGTGGCGCTCTTGACGTCCGAGGGGTCCACGGAGATGCGCGCAATGGCCTTCAGGACGTGGGCCAGGTTGGAGGGGCCTGGCGGGCCGGGGGACAAGGGGTTGGGGAGGTGCATAACGGATCGGGGCGGGTTGGGAAAAGGACAGGCAGGGGCAGAAGCGGGAATAAACGAGGAAAACCCGTGAAGGCCCGGGGAGGGATGGGCGTGGTGAGAAATTCGAGGAGGGTGAGACGATGGCGCGGATGAGAGTTCAACAATCGATGAAGTAGGTCGGTAGGAGGAGGCCTAACCTGAGGCACCCCGTTGTGTGCGTTACCCGACGTGCACACACAGGTGAACACACACACACACACACACACACACAGGCACGCACACACAGGTGAACACACACACACACGCACGCACACACACACACTCTCTCACACAGGCAGCTGGCCCATCCAGGTAATATATCACAAATCTCTTCCCCCCCTTTTCCCCCCGTCTCTCTCTCTCTGACACACACAGACACACGCACGCACACACACTCAAGCATACACACACACGCACGTGCAACACACAACGCAAGCGCGCGTGCCCCTACTCACTTGCATTGTACAATCGGGGCTTGCTCTGCGTCAGCACCGCCGCAATCCAGTCATTGGGCGGTACATAGCGCAGCTTCGCCACTCCCGTCAGCATAATGACGTACTCCTGGGCCCCCAAGGTGGACAATCCATGCGTCAGAATGGCACAATGAGTGGGGTCCCCTCTGAACCGCACACGCGGATTCATGGACTCCATGACTACTACCACGCAATTTCGTCCATTCTATTCACTGCCCGACGCAAACCAGGGAAGAGCCAAGGACGCGCGCCTTTGATAGCAAGTCAACGGGATAGAATTGGGCCCATCCAACGAACCAGCGAGGATCAGCTCGTGTGGCAATTGCAGGTTTGCCCCTCGTTTCTAAGTTCGTGACATACCTCCAGATGCCTCTCCCCCAACCGCTGTTTCCTCCGTTCGGCCTCCTCCGCACGACTGGGCCTTACCTGGATCCCGTCCTCACCTCGTTAACCGATTTCGGCCCTCCCCCCTAACCCGCCTAATGCCTTTTTCCATATAACGCCTAACCTTCTATTCACCCCATCCCTCCCTGCTTTCCTCTCTCCTTAATACCTGCATTGTGAGTTCTTTCAGAGAAGATGTTATCCGCTGCAGCAGCTCTACGAGCATCACATGAGTGGCGGTCCACAGTTTGACCGTCATGTACGACGGATCGTGAACCTCCGCCAGCTGGTTGACCAGCAGCACCAGCTCCTCCCGCGTTAGTCGGGCTCCGTACATGCCGTACAGCATACGCAACGCGGCCAGGTCTGAACACCCGCGCACGAGGCGCTCTACCTCCGCCCGCGTCGGTCGTGGCAGGTTGCCCGGCGTGGGTAGTTCGCTGTGCCTGGACGAGACGGCTGCAGCGGCGTCATCGCTGGGCGATGTTGCTGACGGCGCTGCTGACGATGGCGATGTGGGTCGCGACGACCCGGGGCTGGAGGCCATGGAGGATGTCATGGATGCTGCTTCCGGCGAAATGTCAGCGACGTCCCTGCATACGGACGTCAACGGCGGATGGCCGTACTGCAGTCCGCTCGTCGGGGCGAACGGGGTGGCGGCTGGCGTGTACGCGTTGGCTGCGGCGAGGTCCGAGTCGCCGTCATTGCCACCGCCTCCACCGCCTGCTTTGCGGCTGGAATGCAGGATGCGTGAGGAGTATTTATTAAGCTGTGCCAGGCGGCGCTGTGCTAGGCGCTCGCCCGCCGCGGGCATGAAGTTGCCCACGCGAGGCGTGAGAAGGGCAGCTGATAGCTGCTGCGGCTGCAAGTCAAAGCCCTGCTCTGCTATTTTGCGCCGCACGACAAGAGCTTTCGCCTTCAGTCCCAACTGCGTCGGTTCCTTATATGCGTTTGGAGGGGGTATTTCCTTCCCGATGGATCCATTGGGACTCTTCTCATAATCGTCGAGGCTGGATGTCGCCCCGTCCTCTGAAGCTAGCTGGTTTGCGACACTCCGCGCAGGTGATGGCCGCGCCCGGGCGCGCGGCTGTGGTTTGTTGACGAGCTGTACGGGTTGGTTATCGCACGGCTGCCTTTGCCGGTCCAGGCCTGACCCTATGACGGGATTTGATAACCCATCCTCAACGTCCATCCGCAGGTCGACTTCGTCCAAACCCGCTGATGATAAGCCGCTCACCCCAAACACTGATGCCACCTGTATCGTCAGCACAGTGTTCATTAAACTGGACGCCTGATAATATTCTTAAGAGCAAGCCAATGGCCAGCTCGCTAAGTCCAGCGCAACATCAATTGCAGCATACCTGATACCCGGTATCGCTGTGCGTCGTGGCAGCGCCTGTTACAAGAGTGGAACACCGAGCTGTCCGAGTAGCTCGGCGGCGCAAGGGGCATGGCCCTAGCATTCCTAATAGCCATAGATGCTTAAAATTACAAGATGGAATCACCTGCGTAAGATGTCCGCAACCGTATGTCAATCGCACGAAATGGTCTCTTACTGCTCAGGTTGCGCACCTGATGACTTGCCGTTGCAGCTGAACTACACGATGATAATTGTCCTCTAGTCGCATTTGGACAAAACGCTGACATCGTTCGCCTCTATAAACAGGACCTCAAAAAGCCAGAGTAACGATCTATCGTAATGCTTCCATTTACATAAAAGGCCGTGGTTCAGAAAACATTGACCAAAATATTATTAAAGAAAATCTGTAAAATTCCCAGGGTAAGACTTTAACGACAAGTACGACACGCGGATCTCATTGAACTATCTCCATGCTACGTCACTTTCCCCAATTGGCACTGCATCACGGCTTGCTCCGCTTCGAGGCGTTATCAAGGATTGTCGACCCTGGGCGCTTCACACCAGAGGTCCCCCCAACAGGTCCCGTTGCCAGCCTGCCTGCTCCAACCTTCGCGCGTGCGGCCCCACCCTCGGTGCCCGGCCGCAGGGGAACCATGCTCGTGCGCCTCGAAGCAGGCGCGGATGACGTCTCCATGCCGGCTGGGGGTTTTGGAAGGCAACCCAGGCTGAACCTCGAGCCTATAGGAAGGGACGCAGGGATAACTACCTGAAAGGGTTAGGCAGCGCTAGGGAAACACAACAGCACTACAACTTCAACTTCATCATTGGCCCCATGGTGCCCCATGGTGCCAGGCCCATGCAGTAACCCGTACACCGCCAGGACGCCCATGGGACAAAAGCCTCAAGATTTGAGACATGTTTGCCAATCTCTGAGACCTGTTTGCCGCAGATGATGCTGTGGAATTCGACAACTTCTGTTATGTTACTGAAGATCCGGAGCAAGCCGTACTGAGGCTGCCCACCTGACGTCTTGCCGCCGATGGCCAGTAGAGCAGGCGTCACTGCCGCCGCTGTGGCGAGGAAAGCGGCACCCGCTGAGGGGGCTGGGGGTACCACCTTTCGACGGGTAACTGTCAGAGTGCTGTGGGCCCGCGTCGCCATCGACGCTGACAGCAACCGCACCATCGTCTGAACTGGCCGTCCTGCTTGAGCTGGCCGAGGCCTGCCTGCTGCCCCGTCAGACGACCCAGACGCTCTTGGTGGGGGTGGTATTGAAGTTCCCCGGCAGCGCGCCTCACCTGTCGGGTTTGGTGCCTCTGTCTCGCCGCTGCCGTTCACACCACCGGAGGTCTGGATGTTGCGTTTCGCGCCGCCCTTGGCGCCCGTCTCGCAGCCATTTACTTTGGCCGCAAAACGCAGCGAGCACAGGCTCTCTCCCGCGGATGCCGGCTCGGGGTTGATGTTCACGAACATAAGTGTCTTGCCGTTGCCCCCCAGGCACGGCTGTTGGACGGGTAGGGGTGCATTGCGGAGCACAGTTTTGCATACATATGGTTGCCGTTCACCAGCAAAGAGGATCCTGAACAATTGCGTACACTCCATGGCACATAGCCGGGCGTGCTGTCCCCACCTGCAGCAAGTAGGTCAACTTGCTGTTGCGGTACGGCACGTGCGAGCTCTTTGAAGATAACGCCGCAAACACGTCGCCCAGTGCACTGAGAGATGTGTTGATCGCACACGCCTCCTTTTTGGCTGTGCCTTCCGCCTGGGAACGATCTAGCCGCTCGCTGCAACACCAAAGGGCAATTGGGGTTTATATCTTAACGGCATGTTGGCTATCTGCCAACATGTCATCATGCTACCTTTCAAGGGGGATGCTAGGTGGGTTGTGAATAATTTTGGCAGCAAAGCTTTGCCATATACCCTACCTCCAATTGCACAGGGCTGATGTGCGACTCCGACATGGCGAGGTGGCAGCAGGAGCCCCAGGACTATAATTAAAAGGCTTAATACTATAAAGAGCTAGTAATCACTCCCATCGATTTGCGGAGTTGTGTTAGCCCCTCCCAACGCCCTACCTGCCGGCCAGGTCCACCAGGCAAAGCGAGCCCTACAAAGGGAAGGAAGCACCTTATGTTGCAGGCAGTAATGACATGTCGCCGGTGTTCGAAAGGATTATTGCCGAAGTGGCGCACGTTCAGTGCGCACCATAGGCATCGC